TTATTAGCTATTTTACCACTCTAAATCATCAAATAAATTGAGAAATATATTTTAAAACTACTACCCTTATTTGGTGCTTTTACCAGAGCATCAATAATACACCTCGACCTAAAAAAAACTAAGAGCCTAAAGTTTTTTCTTACTCAAGATAGGAAAATTAGTTGGCATAAACTTATTCAAACATTATCAGTCGTGGTACTGCAAAACCAGCTCCATATTTTACAGGACATGAGAAGTCTTCTAGCAGTATACGAACTCAATTCTACAGTATCAAAACTGTAGTTAACGCAACGATTGCGTAAAGATAGTGTCGTTATAGTATATTACGTTACTAGTCCTGAAAGTAAGTGTTTGCCGGACGAGTGTGGTCGTTCCCGTGCGAGACGAAGTCGAGTACGGGATTACCATTCGAGTCCGGTAAACACATTTTGGACGAGTCACGTACGATAGTTTACGCCATAGTACTAAATCTGTACAGATCCTTATATATTACCACCAACTAAAGGACAAAAAATCGCTAGTCATTAGAGGTTATGTTTTTGTTATAACCACTCATTGTCACCCAAATACAGTAGGCTATAATCAGCTGATTGGTGTCCGGTAAAACTCATTACAGTACAGTAGTACGCAATGAAACCCCATTTGATGGTTGCTGGCGGCAAACAGCTGTTTTCTGGACTAAATACTTGCGTGGGAAGTTCGTCAAAATAGTGTAGTGTGGCGAAATAGTATATTTCGTACCTAGGGCCAAAAATGAGGTTTTGCCGGCTCGAGATAGTTTTTTAGTTCGAGACGAAGTCGAGAACTTAAATCGATCGAGAGCGGCAAAACCATTTCGGTCCGTGGTACGAACGCTATTTTTCACCACACTATACCCTATTATCACTATTCACCATTATAATAATGCACACTGATAGTCAACACAACTACAACGGTTATGTGAAGAAATAATTTGAGGAATCACCAAAAATAAAAATAAATAGTTGCTAGGCGACGGTGACAATAAAACAATTCTATTGCAATGCTATGGATTTTGATTGTGTATTTAATAAGCACGAGAGCACGCCCCGTGGTCGAAAAATCGACCAAAAGTATGTATTGTACAAACTTCTCTATTTTCATCTCACACTGTAAATAAAACATGTGATTGGAATGTCTTCCATTTGTTTTGATTTTCTGTTTATATTGTGTTGTTATTTTGTCATCACCATAGCAACCCATAAGACCCATGTTAATTTTTTAAAATTTCAAATTCATTTTTTGTGCTTATTTTTGAGCCTATTTTAATTTATAAAGGGATTCTGCACACCTACAGGAAAATAGCTTTCTAACGGTATGCGTAGATTTTCCCTACGATACACACGAGCTGAGAAAAAAGGTTTTAAAGAAACATGCTTGCCTATTAATATATAGATAGATTCATGCTTTAAGTAAGTAAGCGGGCAGCTGATTTTGCGGCCCTAGGGATGTAAAAACCTGCTCGGTCCCCAAATAACGATGACATCTGGCATTGCCATCAAAACGTCACTTTCAGCCACCAATTAACGTATGTAAAACCGCTAAAACATCATAGTATGGTGAAAACACTACGCGAGTTGCGTACACTACTTCACCGACGACAGTGTTTTAATTACTAAAAATCACTACTCATAACAAGAGAGGTTATGTTTTCGTTTATAACCTCTCATTGCCACTGACAGCAATGCAACGAAAACACTACTCATTAACAATTAAATTGGTATAACAGCTGATAAGTTGAAGTTCGAAGCATTAAAATTTTACTTCTTTTCTCTCAATCCTTGAACCTCATTGGTCCGTTACTAGTGTTGTAATAAAACATTGCTATTAAGTAAGTAAGCGATACTGTAAAGTGAATCTTTTCAATTCTAAGAACTGAACAGAAACGGCTAGTTGGTTAACATTAGTTGGTAAATAAAAAATAAACATAAAGAAGACTGCAATGAACGCCGTAGTTTTAAAAGGTTTTACGAGACACAATTGCTAGTTTCAATCCCTTTTGTTCCCGTAGTTGAGTGTTATTATCCGGTGGCACTTCCGAGGAATTATTCCACAATCAAGACTCTTCCTTCACCTCACGTTATGACCCTAGGGTCGTCACGACAGCCAGTCTAACCACTAATATCAACATCAGTTGACACGGTGCAATCTTTGTTGAATTTGCATACCTCTGAAAAACGGCACATCAACTTAGGGTTTTACTGGGTAGTTGATGTGTTTAAAATTTATATCATATTTTTTATGGGATTGACATAGTGCACGCCTTGTTATCAAGATGATGCCGGTTCGATACAGAGTCATCGGCTTTTTAATGGATTGTCACTAGACTCAGCTGTTCCTGATCATTGGGCTTTAAATAAATGGTCCTGGCAAATGGAACAGCTGATCTTAGTCTGTAACAAAGCTATCTATAATATTAAAACGAAACAGTGTTTTTTTATTTCACGATTCTGAATCAACCACTCGACGGATTTTCACGATTTTTGTGTTGAAAGAAAGATAATTTTGAGAACTAGGGAATGTCGAAGCCATAATTTTAGTTTAGGGTCCCAGTTTTTTAGAAATTAAGTTTTAATTTTTGAAAAGTCTAGCAGCCGACGCTAAGATTCTGAACTAGCTTTTGGCATAAGATAATTTGCTTAACATAACAGCTGTAAACATTCAGCTTTTGTGTCACAAATTCAGCATTTGGATAAAAACGTAGAGCCATACTTAGGGTTGATTTATTTATACTATGTGTAATGCTAATCATTCAATTCTTCTGTAAGAGGATGACAGATTAATTGAATATACATAGTAAAATACTAGGATGTTCAAATTATTTTTTTGGAGCAATCTTTGTAATCTTCGATTTGTTTTAGAGAAACATAATTTGTTTTAACTAACAGCTGGTTAGTTATAAAAATACCCTATAGAACTATGAGGTTATTTACTCTGATTTTGTCATTGATTATAGGAAATAAGTAATATTAGTAGACCACCGAGATAAGTAACACCATCGATGTGTACAAGTCAAGGCTCTGTTCACGAGTTAAATAAAAAATATATGCAACTTAACTTATTTTACTGCTCAACTTTTTTGGAAAGGGTAGGAAAATCACAATTTTTACATGTTTTAATTCATCTTGGCAGCTTTTTGTTTACAATCAATGTTTTTGAATGCTTGAACTTTGTTTGGATTAGGCCCGGAAATATTGATATCATAAAGAAGGAGATCAAGAATCCTCAGGAATATAATTTTAAATTACCACCACAACCTCAGACGGGTTTTATCCAAAGATATACAGATGAATGACATAGATTTAACGCAATGTCATCATTGACCTAAGATACTGCAATTAGACTAACTATCTTTTTATGAAATCTAAAAAGTTGTTTGGCGTGTGTTTAGTTGTGGTTACGTTTGGCGGCGCTGAATATTTTATAGTTTAAATAAATGAATATGGGGAATTACGATGTACATTGATTCAATGAGGGTGGTTTAATTATCAAGGATATTATAACTGATAATGGAATGGATAATAAACATAGACAATTAATTACGTCACTAGCTTTACTAACGTTTTTACATTTTAAATTCCTTCAACATGTGACCAGTTCTTTTGTTCAAATGAATATTATTTTATTTTTGACTCAGCTGATTACAAAACAAACTAATATGTTTTCGTGTTTACTTTTCTTTGTTTACACTTATTTATTTAGCAATTGATGCAGTGAAATTGACATGAAGAATGTGCGTGGACGATTCGTTTAATGATGTCAGGACACCAACGTTATAATTATGTGTATTGTGAATTTGATTGGATGTTTTCGTTTTATTTTAGGGAGTTTCAATTCAGACCTACTGGAAATTGTGTATAGTATGAGTAATTGTATTGTGGTGATATTGATTATGGAAGATGCGATGGAAGGTGATATCATTGACTAGGCCATACACTTCTCAATTGATAATTACTCTTACTACTGTAGGCTGCAATAAAATTTTTCTTTATAAGTGTAAAATAGCTGTTCTGAATTATAGGCCTACACAGTTTTAACTGACTACTCCCGTACGTAGGACGGGATAACACCTCGTCACACTTAATTCTACACTCATCCTTCACTCTTGGGTTTAAATACGCACCTAGGTGGCGTCCCCATCTTAATTGATATAGTAATAATTATGTACAATACATTTTTCTGGTGACCATCTGATTATAAGTATATTAGGTAACTAGTCCAGAAAATTATGGTTTACCAACCTAATAATAACAAAAATCTCTTAAGACCGTAATTTGCTCCTTTTAACCACCACTCATTGCTTCGATGAAAGGTTATATTATATTTTCGTTTATAATTACTTAGTTTCAAACCTTTTTGTTGTTTCATCCTTAGAATGAAGTTGTGTAATTTTATAAATTCATAATAAATTATGTTTACGAAATATATGAGGTTTTAAACAACTAAAAATAGTTATAACCAGCTAGTGTCCGAAAAAAATTCATCAGGAATTATCCATGCGTTGGTCCATTAAAACCAAAGTAGGGTTGCAAAAAGTGTTTTCAGTTATGAAAAACCTCGTATATTTCGTAAACATAACAACTATTAACGTAAAACAATTTACACAACACTTAATTGCGAAGATTAAATCGCAAAAAGTTTGATACTATGTACTCGACTGCGTCTCGCGCGGGAACTACTCGTCCGTTAAAGACCTATTTTCCAGACTAGTGACGTAGTCCACCACAATTTAGAAGCTGGTGAGATGACGTTTGTACACTGTTATAACATCAGCTGGTTCTTGATTACTAGTCCATTGATCCAGAACAACTGGGACCAGTTTCAAACCGTCCAAAAGCTAATATTCTTGAGGATCGAACCGGCATTCTTTGTATTCTGAGGCAATCATATTGAAAGCTAGCATTTTTTAAAGGAAATATGACATATTATATTTTAAAAGGATGTGGAAATAAACCATTTTTAAGGATATTTTATGAGTTTAATTCTTAGCTAACTTATCTATTTGGTTTTTTGTCAGGTACTAGTATTGAAGGCGTTCCCACTGCACTCGATGTGAACAGAAGGTACTTTTGCTGGAGCAGCAATAATATTCTGAAATCAAAAAAACATGACAATTTGACAAACACTGTATGTACAAAAAATAACTTAATATATAAGGTGTTTTTGTGCACAATTGCAATCGTTTTTTTTTTTATCAATTATTAGTTATCAAATTTAATTGATATGGGGATGCCACCTGAGTGGGTATTTAAATTTTTATTTCATCTAAAACAACGATGTACCATGTACTGTTCTAACCTTCTTAAAAATGGTTTAGGAATCTGTTTATGTGACTGTAAAGATTCTATAGTAAATATGGTAAACGGTTAATCATTGTATGTTTGTATTCTGTGTGATATTTATTTCACCTTAAACATAAATATGTGTTATCAAATCAAACGTTTTATTTTGCAAGAAAAACTAATAGATACGAGTATTTAAGTATTTTTACGATAAAAGAGTTTCACCGAAAATCCAGTAAAGTTTTTTAATTTTACTTCAAAAAGTTCTGCAAATTCAAGAATTTAGGAGAGATTTTTGACATATTTCTCTTTTTGGAGTATTGTAAAGTTTATGTTATATCGATACTAGCCCTGATGGGATAAAACAGTGAGCTAAAAATATAAAATTTCGTTTAAATGTCCGATGAATAAATCGAGGGAAGGATAAATGATTCATTAGCAAAACTTATAAAGTTAAACATTATTTTAGGATGCTATTTACAACATACCTCTTCACCATGAGGAAAGGGTCTCCCCTTCCTCTGCATCCAGAGCATTGCCACATAACATCATGATATCGTGCAGTTTTTGTCCAGAGTATTCTTCTCCGTGGACTGAGGGTTCATCGCTTGCCTTCTCTTTGCCACGGCCACCGCGTCGTTGGGGACGTAAGATATCCTCACTCCTCCATATGCTCTTCGTGGTGGCAACTGATACGCCGACTGATCATCACTGCTTGAACTGGAAGAACACGTGGAGCAAGTGCTGCTTGAATCGTCAAAGTCTTTGTAAATGTCAAACTTGTTCTTGTATTTCCTCCTGTTCTTTTTTCTTCTTCGGTCATCACAATGCTTCTTCTCCCGAGGAGTCGCTGGAGAAGAACCTCCTTGAAATCTAACACTTCTGTTCTTCCTAGGAGAAACCTCTTTTTCTGAACTTGTACTTTTTCTATGAAAGTTTGCGTCTTCACTAGAATCACTTAGATAATTGTTATCATTCACAATTACATTAGTCTCTATTTCTTTATCTTCGGCCTTTGTCAGTATAGGTTCTTCATGACTGTCTACATTAGTAACTACAGTTGTCGGAGCTGACTTTTTAATTTCTTTGAAAACTTCAGAGTCTACAGTAGTTGGTGGATTTCCTAAAATTAGGCTTTTGAATTCTGGTTTGAGATTTAAAAAATCATTTCCTTCAATTACTATCCTGTCGATGTTCAAGTGGGAAGATTCAACTACCTGATCCTTAATTACTAAATGTTCTACTTGAGATTCTATAGTTACTTGTGAAGGCATGTTTTCAAGATATTTATTGACTGGTTGACAAAGGGTGTTCATTAAAGCTGAATAGTGGTTCGATATTTCTTTTGATGTTGTAATACTTTCAAGCCTATTCACTCTTGATTCCTTTAAAACCCTAGAATGCACGTCATCATGTAATCTAGTGAGCCCTTCAGTTATTTGAGGTAGACATGAAGGCATTGGACTTGAAGGCGGTAGAGGTGGAAGCCTTCTTGTGTTAGGGTTGTGTGATATCCTTTCAGAGACTACAGGCGACTTCACTATTGAAATCTCCTTCATGGAGGTAATTGAAGATGAACTCAGAAAGTGGTATTGGCTCTCAGGAGGCAGTTGATCCAATTCCCTAAAGAAAGATAAATGCTTGTAATTCAATTAAGTAAGTAGGAGTTTGATTCATCTATAAATGTAAACCAAAGAAAAAACACTTAGCATTCGAATCCTAATATCAACCTTTTACAGAAATCAACATGTTTAGTTAACTAATTTAATGAGGGTTATTTCATTAGAGTAATATTATTCCCCAATCCTCATTTATAACATTTATAATTCACAGCAAAAGATTTTCACCTGAATCAATATTGAAGGTAACACCAATTACAATTTAACATTGGGATTTTAAATGAAGTCATATTTGTTATCCTACCACTACAACTTACTTAGTTAAATGAATCTTCACGAAATATTACCAAAGTATAAAATTGTATACACTATTCATCCTGGAAAGGACAAGGAATACTCAGTAGACATAAAGAACCTCCAAACTATTTACATGATATTAAAATCTGCTAAGGTTTCTCCTCCTGACTCTGAGACAATATTTTTTTATCAAAAACATCTTACTTTTCTCTCCACGAGATATCTGCCTCATATCCCAAATTTGTTTGTGCGTAATTCGTGGACTCCTGACTTGGAATAGGTGGAAGAGCCCGATGCCTCTGACTTTTCTCAGGGAATCTTCGAATGATCTTCTTGTAAGGCCTGACTCCTCTGCTGGGAGTCACGGCTGTAATACAAGACTTGAGGGGAGTGTTTTCACTGGCCAAGCTGGTGGTGAGTTTAGTAGACACTAGAGAAGGAGTGAAACCAATAACATCTCCAGGTAAGGGGAGTTCTCTGAGACGGTCCGAGAGTGTGGGTGGCTCTCCCTTACTACAGGCTATGCTGCAGTAGATCGCTCCTCTCCTAGGCAGGAACGGTCTCCCCAGCAGAGATGATCTGCAGGTGTGACAACAGAAACACTTCTCTGTGGCATGCCAGTGCTGGCCGTCATGCGACATTTGACCTGGGGACAAAAGCAAATATCATAGGTATGCAGGGAATATTTTTGTGACGTTTCGCATTACTTTGATAGTAGTTTAATCGCAGACAATGTCGATCATAGTGTTACAACTGACCTTAGAAGGAAATTCTACGTATTTTGTTCCAAACATTGAAGAAGGAAAGCTGAATTTGGCATTGAATAGTTCTGTCATTATTAATATTTGAAGTCATAGATTTGAACCCAGTGCTACATCAACTATAATATACAGTGAGGTAGAAAAGTCCCGGTACAGTTTATTTTTAATTTTTAACCAATATAGATAAAGTAATAATACTTGGTATATCAATAATAGCCATTAACAAAATCAAATTTAAGATCAATAGAACAACTGAGTAAAAAATGGTAGCCGCTCCAAGATGCAAAATGCCAGATTCACGATATTTTAAAGGCTGCCATTTTTGACTCAACTGACCGTTTGAGTTCGGGTTTTCAGCAATGTGTTCTGCCAAATATTCTTATCATGAGGCAAGATTGTCATCATGCATTTGTTACTCTTAATAATTTAAGCCAAAATGGTTTCACTTGACAATTTTTACCATGATCAACTCTGATAGGTTCCCCGCAAGAGTCGCAATACTCAGCAAACATGGCGTCAAAGCAGGCAAGACAGTAAGGTCTGCCATCCCTCATGATGTACCTCTGACCTCCCAGCTGTAAGTCACACTCCAGACAGGCAAAGTGCTTCATGTGCCAAGCTCGGCCCTCTGCCTCCGTACACTCGTCTGCTAGGATTATCTGAAAATTTTGTATACTGTGAGTTTCCTATCGTACTTATCTAATCTGAACTCCTCCAAAGTCGTGGAAACACGTATGTAATTGGTTTTTTATTTTCATCAAAGGCTGGAGAACTCAAGGAAACCAGTGCAGAAGGCATGCAATAGAGGGATTGCCTATAGACACATTAAAGAGGAGTGAATGGGAAAATAGAAGGAAAAATCCATGCAGGTAATTCAGTATTCCTATCTTAACTAGTTTGCGAACATAGTTTGAAATTTCTGTTCAAATAATTTTGGTATTAGAGCACCCAAATTGCACGACATATTTTCAACAGCTACACCAGTAACGTTCAGCCTAGAACTGTCATTGAAATACAAAAATGTATTCCGCTTCTTGGGAGCTAGTAAAATAAATACTTTTTACGTCATATAATCTCAGTAGTTATTAGCAACGTCTTTATTACCTCATCACAGGCAGAACAACGAGGCTTGAGTGTTTCAGCATGATGCCGCCCGCAGTACAACTTGTTGTCTTTGTAGAAGTAGATGAGATCTACCAGCAACTCCTTGCAGACACTACAGACAAAGCAGCCAGGGTGCCAGCAACAGTTGGGTCCAGCACGAGAGGCAAACACTGACATGTCTCCTGTAGATAGTCTCTCATCACACTGTAACACAAGCAGTACATAGTGATGATATCTACCAGCAACTCCTTGAAACACTACAGACAAAGCAGCCAGGGTGCCAGCAACAGTTGGGTCCAGCACGAGAGGCAAACACTGACATGTCTCCTGTAGATAGTCTCTCATCACACTGTAACACAAGCAGTACATAGTGATGAGATCTACCAGCAACTCCTTGCAGACACTACAGACAAAGCAGCCAGGGTGCCAGCAACAGTTGGGCCCAGCACGAGAGGCAAACACTGACATGTCTCCTGTAGATAGTCTCTCATCACACTGTAACACAAGCAGTACATAGTGATGAGATCTACCAGCAACCCCTTTCAGACACTACAGACAAAGCAGCCAGGGTGCCAGCAACAGTTGGGTCCAGCACGAGAGGCAAACACTGACATGTCTCCTGTAGATAGTCTCTCATCACACTGTAACACAAGCAGTACATAGTGATGAGATCTACCAGCAACCCCTTGCAGACACTACAGACAAAGCAGCCAGGGTGCCAGCAACAGTTGGGTCCAGCACGAGAGGCAAACACTGACATGTCTCCTGTAGATAGTCTCTCATCACACTGTAACACAAGCAGTACATTGTGATGACATCTACCAGAAACTCCTTGCAGACACTACAGACAAAGCAGCCAGGGAGCCAGGGTGCCAGCAACAGTTGGGTCCAGCACGAGAGGCAAACACTGACATGTCTCCTGTAGATAGCCTCTCATCACACTGTAACACAATCAGTACATAATGATGAGATATACCAGAAACCCCTTGCAGACACTACAGACAAAGCAGCCAGGGTGCCAGCAACAGTTGTCTCATCACACTGTAACACAAGAACAGCTGTATGATGAGATGTACTAGCAGTTAGGGTAATGGTCTGAGTATAAGGTTGCAGTTACTAAGTGGCTTTGTATTTTTTTACCACACTAAATATTACTGAGTAATCGTCAATGAATACAAAGCGATTGCCATAGAAGTTGATGACTTACCCCTTCACATGGCATGGGTGCGACGAGTTGTCTCACAGCTCCTCTCCCAAGCGCTTCCCTTTTCCTTTGAGCAGAGAAGAGTTTCAATTCCTTTCGTTCCTCTTCAGAAGGACTGTGACAGTAGCGAACCTCGTTGTCATGAGGAGGCAACTGATGCAGCAACTGTCGGACTCTGTGTCTCTCTCCTGCTGAGTTGACGTACGGTATCTTGTCCTCGGGTAGAGATGAGAAGTACAAGTGTACCTACAACATCAAGTATCATGTCAGAGAATGTGCCAGTCATGAGGAGGCAACTGATGCAGCAACTGTCGGACTCTGTGTCTCTCTCCTGCTGAGTTGACATACGGTATCTTGTCCTCTGGTAGAGATGAGAAGTACAAGTGTACCTACAACATCAAGTATCATGTCAGAGAATGTGCCAGTCATGAGGAGGCAACTGATGCAGCAACTGTCGGACTCTGTGTCTCTCTCCTGCTGAGTTGACGTACGGTATCTTGTCCTCTGGTAGAGATGAGAAGTACAAGTGTACCTACAACATCAAGTATCATGTCAGAGAATGTGACAGTCATGAGGAGGCAACTGATGCAGCAACTGTCGGACTCTGTGTCTCTCTCCTGCTGAGTTGACGTACGGTATCTTGTCCTCTGGTAGAGATGAGAAGTACAAGTGTACCTACAACATCAAGTATCATGTCAGAGAATGTGCCAGTCATGAGGAGGCAACTGATGCAGCAACTGTCGGACTCTGTGTCTCTCTCCTGCTGAGTTGACGTACGGTATCTTGTCCTCTGGTAGAGATGAGAAGTACAAGTGTACCTGCAACATCAAGTATCATGTCAGAGAATGAGACAGTCATGAGGAGGCAACTGATGCAGTGTGTCTCTTTCCTGCTGAGTTGACGTACGGTATCTTGTCCTCTGGTAGAGATGAGAAGTACAAGTGTACCTACAACATCAAGTATCATGTCAGAGAATGTGCCAGTCATGAGGAGGCAACTGATGCAGCAACTGTCGGACTCTGTGTCTCTCTCCTGCTGAGTTGACGTACGGTATCTTGTCCTCTGGTAGAGATGAGAAGTACAAGTGTACCTACAACATCAAGTATCATGTCAGAGAATGTGCCAGTCATGAGGAGGCAACTGATGCAGCAACTGTCGGACTCTGTGTCTCTCTCCTGCTGAGTTGACGTACGGTATCTTGTCCTCAGGTAGAGATGAGAAGTACAAGTGTACCTGCAACATCAAGTATCATGTCAGAGAATGAGACAGTCATGAGGAGGCAACTGATGCAGCAACTGCCGGACTCTGTGTCTCTCTCCTGCTGAGTTGACGTACGGTATCTTGTCCTCTGGTAGAGATGAGAAGTACAAGTGTACCTACAACATCAAGTATCATGTCAGAGAATGTGCCAGTCATGAGGAGGCAACTGATGCAGCAACTGTCGGACTCTGTGTCTCTCTCCTGCTGAGTTGACGTACGGTATCTTGTCCTCTGGTAGAGATGAGAAGTACAAGTGTACCTACAACATCAAGTATCATGTCAGAGAATGAGACAGTCATGAGGAGGCAACTGATGCAGCAACTGTCGAACTCTGTGTCTCTCTCCTGCTGAGTTGACGTACGGTATCTTGTCCTCGGGTAGAGATGAGAAGTACAAGTGTACCTACAACATCAAGTATCATGTCAGAGAATGTGCCAGTCATGAGGAGGCAACTGATGCAGCAACTGTCGGACTCTGTGTCTCTCTCCTGCTGAGTTGACGTACGGTATCTTGTCCTCTGGTAGAGATGAGAAGTACAAGTGTACCTACAACATCAAGTATCATGTCAGAGAATGTGACAGTCATGAGGAGGCAACTGATGCAGCAACTGTCGAACTCTGTGTCTCTCTCCTGCTGAGTTGACGTACGGTATCTTGTCCTCTGGTAGAGATGAGAAGTACAAGTGTACCTACAACATCAAGTATCATGTCAGAGAATGTGACAGTCATGAGGAGGCAACTGATGCAGCAACTGTCGAACTCTGTGTCTCTCTCCTGCTGAGTTGACATACGGTATCTTGTCCTCAGGTAGAGATGAGAAGTACAAGTGTACCTACAACATCAAGTATCATGTCAGAGAATGAGACAGTCATGAGGAGGCAACTGATGCAGCAACTGCCGGACTCTGTGTCTCTCTCCTGCTGAGTTGACGTACGGTATCTTGTCCTCTGGTAGAGATGAGAAGTACAAGTGTACCTACAACATCAAGTATCATGTCAGAGAATGAGACAGTCATGGGGAGGCAACTGATGCAGCAACTGTCGAACTCTGTGTCTCTCTCCTGCTGAGTTGACGTACGGTATCTTGTCCTCTGGTAGAGATGAGAAGTACAAGTGTACCTACAACATCAAGTATCATGTCAGAGAATGAGACAGTCATGAGGAGGCAACTGATGCAGCAACTGTCGAACTCTGTGTCTCTCTCCTGCTGAGTTGACATACGGTATCTTGTCCTCTGGTAGAGATGAGAAGTACAAGTGTACCTACAACATCAAGTATCATGTCAGAGAATGAGACAGTCATGAGGAGGCAACTGATGCAGTGTGTCTCTTTCCTGCTGAGTTGACATACGGTATCTTGTCCTCAGGTAGAGATGAGAAGTACAAGTGTACCTACAACATCAAGTATCATGTCAGAGAATGAGACAGTCATGAGGAGGCAACTGATGCAGCAACTGCCGGACTCTGTGTCTCTCTCCTGCTGAGTTGACGTACGGTATCTTGTCCTCTGGTAGAGATGAGAAGTACAAGTGTACCTACAACATCAAGTATCATGTCAGAGAATGAGACAGTCATGAGGAGGCAACTGATGCAGCAACTGCCGGACTCTGTGTCTCTCTCCTGCTGAGTTGACGTACGGTATCTTGTCCTCTGGTAGAGATGAGAAGTACAAGTGTACCTACAACATCAAGTATCATGTCAGAGAATGAGACAGTCATGAGGAGGCAACTGATGCAGCAACTGTCGAACTCTGTGTCTCTCTCCTGCTGAGTTGACGTACGGTATCTTGTCCTCTGGTAGAGATGAGAAGTACAAGTGTACCTACAACATCAAGTATCATGTCAGAGAATGAGACAGTCATGAGGAGGCAACTGATGCAGCAACTGTCGAACTCTGTGTCTCTCTCCTGCTGAGTTGACATACGGTATCTTGTCCTCAGGTAGAGATGAGAAGTACAAGTGTACCTACAACATCAAGTATCATGTCAGAGAATGAGACAGTCATGAGGAGGCAACTGATGCAGCAACTGTCGAACTCTGTGTCTCTCTCCTGCTGAGTTGACGTACGGTATCTTGTCCTCTGGTAGAGATGAGAAGTACAAGTGTACCTACAACATCAAGTATCATGTCAGAGAATGAGACAGTCATGAGGAGGCAACTGATGCAGCAACTGTCGAACTCTGTGTCTCTCTCCTGCTGAGTTGACATACGGTATCTTGTCCTCAGGTAGAGATGAGAAGTACAAGTGTACCTACAACATCAAGTATCATGTCAGAGAATGTGACAGTCATGAGGAGGCAACTGATGCAGCAACTGTCGAACTCTGTGTCTCTCTCCTGCTGAGTTGACGTACGGTATCTTGTCCTCTGGTAGAGATGAGAAGTACAAGTGTACCTACAACATCAAGTATCATGTCAGAGAATGAGACAGTCATGAGGAGGCAACTGATGCAGCAACTGCCGGACTCTGTGTCTCTCTCCTGCTGAGTTGACATACGGTATCTTGTCCTCAGGTAGAGATGAGAAGTACAAGTGTACCTACAACATCAAGTATCATGTCAGAGAATGTGACAGTCATGCGGAGGCAACTGATGCAGCAACTGTCGGACTCTGTGTCTCTCTCCTGCTGAGTTGACATACGGTACCTTGTCCTCTGGTAGAGATGAGAAGTACAAGTGTACCTACAACATCAAGTATCATGTCAGAGAATGAGACAGTCATGAGGAGGCAACTGATGCAGCAACTGTCGGACTCTGTGTCTCTCTCCTGCTGAGTTGACGTACGGTATCTTGTCCTCTGGTAGAGATGAGAAGTACAAGTGTACCTACAACATCAAGTATCATGTCAGAGAATGAGACAGTCATGAGGAGGCAACTGATGCAGCAACTGTCGAACTCTGTGTCTCTCTCCTGCTGAGTTGACGTACGGTATCTTGTCCTCTGGTAGAGATGAGAAGTACAAGTGTACCTACAACATCAAGTATCATGTCAGAGAATGAGACAGTCATGA